TCAGAAGGATGAAATTTACTATGTAATTTGTTTTAAGTCTGAAACTAAAACTCCACAAGAAAAAAGGAACTCATTTTAGACTAGAAGCTCAAGATATGGTCGTTTCTTCTGGGTTAAGGAAAGGATTAAAGGTTTCATAAAGAATGAGGCATTTAAAAAATGTATGTTAGAGGTACAGCCTGTAATAGTCATGATGTATCTTCTCTGATAAGCTAATGAGGGCAGGAATACTGCTGGTTTGTTCAGTTCTGCATAATCAAGATCTAAAGTAGCTCTCTGCACATATTAGGCAACCAAGAGGTACACAATTAATTGACCTATTTCCTATGATATTAATAGGCAGAAATACAACAGCAGGGAATTCTATGCAAAAATGAAAAGTGAGAGATATCTTAGATTTCTGTCCCCCTTTCTAAGTTCCTGTCATCTTCTTTTCAAAGTCAGCTGACAGTCTAGCTCAGCCCCTGCTGAGCTCTTCCAGACCACACTCATCTGTTGTTTGTTCTAGCAAATGAGTCTAAAACGTTAGTGTAGTGGCTCTCAGCACTTCAAGTCTGATTTGTTTCCTATGATAGCCATTAAAATGTGTCCTTTATTGAAGAAGCGCAGCTTGCGTGGCCAGTACTTGTCAGCCCACAGGTAGGCCTTGCTGGTGAGTGGCATCTCCACACTGAACTTTGCCTCGTCCTGCCCCATGCCGTCCTTGACCGGCCTGAAGATGCTGTCGCTGGTGCTCTCGCTGGCATCCCCTGTGACCCGGAGCTGCTGGCGGGACAGCTGCAGACGCTGCAAGTCCTTGTCAGGCTCCAGCATGAGCGCAAGGCCCTGGGTTTGATTCCTCAGCATCACGTAAGCAGAAAAAAGCTGTGGCTCAAGTGGTAGGGTGCTAGCCTTGAGCTGAAGAGCTGAAGGATAAGGGCCTAGGCCTAGAGTTCAGGCCCCACCACCGACAAAAAAAAAAAAAATGTCCCTTATATATTATTTAATGCTTAAAATACATTGACGACAATAATTAAAACACTACGTAGTTTCAAGTTACAGTTTCTCCAAACCTTCAATCTTGCAAGACTCTCATCTTCTCCCATCACTCCTCTACTAGTTCTTTTTAAAAACCTTTTTACTGTTATTATAAGGTGATGGACAGAGGGGTTTCAGTTATGTAAGTCAGGTAATGTATATATTTCTTTTAGGACAATGTCATCCCTTCCCTTGTTCTCTCCTAGTTCCCTTCTATAGTTTTTAATACATAATGATTGATGTTACCTAATTAAGATTTAATATCATTCTGTAATAGGCCAACACGTGACCCATTTTCTTGGCCTTCCTTCTCCTGAGGACAGAGAACCTGCTTCTTCTTCACTATTATAACTAATGTAATAGGTAACTGATATTTGAGAGTTGGATGATCCTGGGTACATCCTCCAGAGAATTTATGCCTTTTCACTTCCCTACTAAGAAAAGTTTTTCTTTTGAAAGGCAAATACAATTTTGTGATAGATGCCTAGAAAAGACCCAAAAAATGTACCTTTTAGCAATGTTGCTTATTCATATCTGAAGTAGTCAGAAAGTTCACAATGTTGGCATTTTCTAACTAGCACTATTACATTTCTATTATGACTATTAGCCTCAACTACAAGACTGAATTTCAACTTGGTTGATTTGTATCCAGGAAAATAAAATTATATAATTATGTAAAAATAAAATTATAAATATGTATAAAATAGTGGATGTTTGTGCTATATCTGAAAGAAACTGGAAAGTAATTTTCAGGAATGAAGTCATACTCTAACCCTTTTATCATAGGTGTACCTTTTTTCTGTTTGTAGTGCTAGGGATTGAATCAAGGACCTGTGGATTCTAGACACGTGCTCTATCACTGAGTTACACTCCTAGTCTGTGAAGGTCTTTTTTAAATATTCATGTTTATTTTCAGAAATATGTAAAAAATAGCGGTGACTATTTTTCATTTTATTGTCAGCATTGGGGACACAAACTCAAGGCCTCATACAAAGTAGCAAAGGTAGATATGTCATGCCATGCAAAGCTGGCAGGGCCATTTCTATATTCCCTAGGAAATATGAAGGAATAAAGTCAGTACTTCGTTTTTGTTTTTGTTTTTGGGTCCGGTCGTGGGGCCTGAAGTCTGGGTCTGGGCGCTGTCCCTCAGCTCTTCAGCTCAAGGCTAGCGCTCTACCACTTGAGCCACAGCGCCACTTGCGGGTTTTTTCTTCTTGCTTATGTGGTGCTGAGGAATTGAACCCAGGGCCTCATGCATGTAAGGCAAATGCTCTACCACTGAGCCACCTTCCCAGCCCCAAAGTCAGTACTTTTGAAGAACAGAAAATTTAGGGCCCATTTTATAAGTTAGAAATCAAATTTTCAATTAAAAAAGGGATACATATGCCTGGATAATGCCTATAGGACTAGTGTCAAATACAGTTCATCTAGGCGGTTTTAGAAGTTATAATGGACTGACACTGTCCTGAAAAATCTTTCTCTCTCTCTGAAAATAATATGCTCACCCTCTGGTGGCCAAAATCAGAAATACATATCCATTCTCTTGGATTAAATCCAAAACATGATTAGTGTGGCATATTAAGTTTCAACTTCATATTTAACCTAAACCAAAAATAGATCTAAGAGAAGGCCATTAGCTTTAAAAAAACACCTAGTCTCCAATATCTAATAAAAAATGCACACAATGATTTAATATGGTAGTTTAGGACTTGCCTTTGTGTGATACTTAACACTGAAATTAGTTTTAATTATTAAAAATAGTTTTAAGTATTAAAACGATAGAACTTTGAAGTTAAAAGGAGTTATAGCGATCATGTGATCTGTTCTCTTATCTAAAATTGCTTGTTAGTCATTGAAAAAACGGCCGCCATTGTTTCTTCATCTTAATAAAATGAAATATGAATTCAGAATTCATAAAACTAAATAGTAATGAGGCTTTGTAATCATATTCATAAATAGCCTTATTTTTAAAAGTCTTGCTACATTTAAGTTCCAACCATCCTACCAATGAATACTTATTATATACTGATAATAGCTTCTGAGGCTAATGCTGGGGTTCTAAGTGTCTCAGATTTCAAACCTAAAGTACAGATAATAAATAGCAAACTAAATGTAATACAATGAGTGCTACAACAAACAGTGTCCACAAAGTGTAAGGGCCAAAAAGCAGTCTTTCATTAGCTGGATGTGGTGGCCCCTGCCTGTAATCCCAACTATTTGGTAGGCAAAGGCAGGAGGATTACCAGTTCAACACCAGCACAGCAAGGAATAGCGGGGAAAAGTCTTGATCAGGGGAACAGTCAAGAAAGAATTCTTGGAAGAAATGGTATGGCTGCTAAGAAGAGGGAGAGGGGAGGGAAGAATTATTCTATATACAAGGAGGAAACATTCTGGACGGCCTGAGGTTAAGAAGGGTGTTAAGTACAGAGGTATAGGTGGAAAGAAACTTTTAAAAGAAATGATCAGAGGTGAGAAGAAAATCTGAAAAATATTGTGTCTCAGAAGATCCACTATCCAAGATCAAGTGCAGACTTCAAAATCTTCATTGGATCTGATAACAAGGAAGTTACTGATGTCCTGCTAGATGAAATTTAAATGTGGATAACTCTTTTAACTTCTTTCATAAGGAAACAGAGGTTAGAAATAAGATAGTAATGAAGGGGTGTGAAAGCTGCTTAGAGTATAGAACATGTGTAAATAATGTTCCCAGAGAGAACTCATATGATACTGAAGAGATAGGCAGAGATGGAATCCATATCATAGGAGAGACCAGGGGTATCTGAATGCCTTCTTAGTAAGCTGGATCCTTCTGCTATTTGTTTCTTTATTTACTGTTATTTTGTGGCTCTGGGGCCTTGTCCATGGTCTGTAAGAGTCTACACTCCAGTCCATACTATGCCTTTCAAATTAAACTACATTCAAAGTAACCTTTGAAAATAGCAATGTAAAATTACTCCCAGGGGCTGAGAAGGTGGCTCAGTGGTAGAGCGCTTGCTTTGCATGCATGAGGCCCTGGGTTCGATTCCCCAGCACCACATAAGCAAAAAGAAAAAAAGCTGGAAGTGGCGCTGTGGCTCAAGTGGTAGAGCGCTAGCCTTGAGCTGAAGAGCTGAGGGACAGTGCCCAGGCCCAGAGTTCAGGACCCACGACGGACCCCCCCCCCAAAAAAAAAATTCTAGGTGAAATAGGATATTTTTTGGATTTGTAAAGCATTTGGCAATTAATAAAATGTTTTCCTATGTCACTACTTTTAAGACACATCCTCTGAAGACTTCAAACTGCTAAGTAATGACAATACACTTTATAGATACCTAAAACAAGGGCAAAACAACCTATGATATTTGAAGTATGTGCTAGTATGCACGAGGTACAAACATAATACCTGCCATATGGCATTCATATTTCAAACGTTGACATTTACTTGTCACACATTCTGTCACTGATATTGGCATACAGTTCTTAATTGCTTAGTATCATTTTTCATACCATGTACTATTCCACTAACTGCTATATTTCATTCCTATTATTTCAGAGTATGCCTAACAAACCATAAGTAAATTAATAGAAACTTTACTGTTAAAACAAACTATTCCTCCTGTTACCTTAACATAACTTTACTGTTAAAACAAACTATTCCTCCTGTTACCTTAACATAAAAAAATTCTTTTTTATGATTAGAAGCTTAAATGTATTTTTTATATTTATATTCTTTCATTTTCTAATATACCAAAAATATATAGAATTTTGAAGAATTTAATGTTTTATTTTTAAAAGATTATCTGTAACTTTTTACTATTCCTAAGCAAAATGCACTTAGGTTTTCTATTAAATTAACAAGAAGGCCATATATTTAAAGCATTTTTAAATTTTAATAATAAAGTATATAACATGGACACAAAATATAAGGGTACATAATTTAATTATTACTAATTAGGTACATCAGTTAAATTGAATAGCATTTCATTCAGTAACAAACAACAAAATAAATCTAAAATAATTCTTTATTTGATGGCTCCAAGTATAATTATTTAAGATATAAGGGAGTACACACAATAATATATCCATTCCTGTTGCTCATTCAAGGGCATTACATGTTGACAAACCTGCATATAAAAACAAATAACTTTTACTTCCTTTTAATCAATGGCTAATTTTCAATAGGACAACATTTCTAGACTTGTATGAGAGATGTCTCTGTGATGCTGGGTACAGTGGCATATTCTTATAACCTCATGTATTTGGGAATCTGGAGCAGAGACCATGAATTCAAGACTAGCTTGAGCAACATGGTAGAGCTTGTCTCAAAAAGGAAAGAAAAGGAAAGGAAAGAAAGGAAGAAAGAAAGCAAGGAAGGAAGGAAGAAAGAAGGAAAGGAAGGAAGGAAAGAAGGAAAAACTATAGTGGTTTTTTGCTCTTGACTTAGTAGTCTTATCTAAAACTCAGAGATCTTTTTTCTGTCTTACATAATTATAGAAAATCTTATTGTTAATATGAATATTTGGTGTCATTAAAATTCCTATATTAACTCACACTGTGTACTTTTCTCTATATGATGTTCAAAGTTTTTCTGTTTTATAACAAAATGGTCAGCATTACTAAATTTCCTAATTAGGAGGAAAGTTGTATTCTTTTTTAGTTTTCTATCAAAATGTTTGAACAAGCCGGGCGCCAGTGGCTCATGCCTGTAATCCTAGCTAGCTACTCAGGAGGCTGACATCTGAGGATCACAGTTCAAAGCCAGCCAGGACAAGGAAAGTCCATGAGACTCTTATCTCCAATAAACCACTAGAAAACCATAAGTGGTGCTGTGGCTCAAGCGGTAGAGCGCTTGCCTTGAGCTGAATTGCTGAGGGACAGTGCCCAGGCCCAGAGTTCAAGCCCCATGACTGACCAAAAAAAAAATTTTTTTTGAACATATACAAAAATAGAGAAGATGATATAATAAATGTACAATACCCATTACCCAGTTGTTATCAAACAGGTATTGATTCACATATCATTTTAATGAAAGTAGATAATCTCAGATTGCAACTAAGAATTAACCAATATATACAAAAGGGTTTCTTCCAACAGAGCTACTTTAAGCCTGCATGTTGTAGAATCTCTACTTTTGTCATTATTTAGGGTTGGCTAACCTTGGTTAGAAAGTACATCTGCCTAGATTGAATAAGGTGGGTCAAATTATTATTGTTGTTGTCAGTTATAGGACTTGAACTCAGGGCTTGAGCATTCCTTGAGCCTTTCTGCTCAAGGCTAGCACTCTACTACTTTGAGTCATGAAACTCCACTTCCAATTTTGTAGTGGTTAATTGGAGATAAGAATCTCTTGGACTCTCCTGCTTCAAACCACTCTCAAACCAGATCTCAGCCTTCTGAGTAGCTAAAATTACAGGAATGAGCACCAGTACCCAGCCAAATTATTGCTTTTTATTAAAAAAAAAACTCAACTACCATATGGAAGTTGTCAAGGAGGTATAATTTTAATTTTTATGTTTGTATTTGCCTTGTGTACTACCTAACTAGTTTTGCTATCTTAATTTTACCTTTAGAAAAAATGAGCACACATTTAAGTGAACTTCCCATTGTCAACAAAATTATGACAGACTAGATTAAGCTTCTGTGTCAAGGTATAGAATGATATGGATGTGAATATCACACTTGAAATAATTTTCTACCTCTTTTATATCTACATATTTATTCATAGTACAGTTTTCTTTTCAAAGAGATAAGACAAAAGAGTTAAATTAGAAAATTAAGCATTACCATTGTAGATTTTGGTGCCACTTCAACTGCAAAAATGCTGAGTCCTCTGTTGTTTACGCAGTTTTTGCTCAACTCATTGTTGATATGAATAATCACTTTGTCATCTGACTATAAAAAATTTCGTAAGTTATTAGTTCTTTCTTTAATGAGTACAGAGGTAAATATAAAACCTAAAATAAGTCTTGAAATTCTGTTTTAATATAGTCCATACATCTCTCATTCGGGTCAACTTTGTGCCATGACCTTTTCTCCACTCTTATTCTAATCTATTACAAACTGCAGGAAGTTTTTCTTCTACATTTCACTTGGCTTTACCCCTTAATCTTCATTCCCAAGTCATGGTGGATACTAAAGCCACCTTATCTCATCCTTGGCAATAATCAGTATCTCTTTTATCTCCAGTTGTGTGTTTTTTTTCCACCTTCCATTTACTCTGATACTACTTTCCCACTAAAAAACATCCTTTGTTTTACTCCCTCATTCACTCATTCAATAAGCATATGCTTAATGGATGTCAAACATTTGTTCTAAGTTCTAGTGTGAAAATAAAAAATACAACTAATAACTCCAAGCTAGTATATAGTCTAGAGAAGACAGACAAAATGGCAATTGTAAAATTCTTTGCTAAGTCATGTAAAAGAGCTATTAATAGGGATCTATAGAAGCACAGAGAAACATTAGCTCACACTGAAGTTTCAAGGAGAATTTCATAGTGGTGACAACTGAGTTAACAAATAATGGTTCCTAGGCCAGATAGAAAGCAAAAAGGCAGAAAAAAACTGACAGAAGTGCAGAGCTGGAATTCTTCCCTGCTAGACTGACTACAAAGGACTAGCTTAGTGTTGACCCTCTGAGTACAATTTGCTACCCCTTTTCTCCTGTGAATTGCCTTGTGCTTCAATTTCTTATGTGTTCAACAGGGATAGAACTTACTTTATAGAACATTATGAAAAGTAAATGTGTTAATATAGGCAAATGCCTGGTACATGTAGTAACCTCTCAACTGTTACTAAGACTTCCACATTTTTTTAAATTATTTTTTATTTTAGTTTTCACTGGTCGTGGACCTGAATTCTGGGCCTAGACGCTGTCTCTCAGCTCTTCAGCTCAAGGCAAGCGCTCTACCGCTTGAGCCACAGTGCTACTTCTGGCTTTTTCTGTTTATGTGGTGCTGAGGCATCGAACCCAGGGCCTCATGCATGCAAGGTAAGCACTCTACCATTGAGCCACCTTCTCAGCCCAAGACTTCCACATTTTGACAGAGAAATTTATTTTTCCTAAGGCAAAAGGAGGCAGAGAGTTGTGAAATGGTAGGTAATACAGCACAGGGCTGGGATAAGGTAGTGATTCCCTTCCATTAGCTTCCTGCTTCTGCAAATCAGTTTCCTCCATATTTCATACTATCCTTTTCCCATGTTTCTCCTTTCACTATCTGCCTTGCTTCTAAAGACTCTCAAAGTATCTGAATCCTAGTCATCCACCAATGCTAAAATGTTACGCCACATTCCTCTTAACTTATTCCTTATTCAACTTCTTTGCTCCAAATGAGTGACAACTACAAGAGATAATAATAAAATAAAACTAATGCATATATGAACAGTGCTATATAATTTAGCATTCACTTTTTCTCTGATCTCTTTTGGGAGTATTCACTTTGTCTTTCTGACTAGTTCATAAATGTCTTGAAAGCAAAGACTATGTCATACACTTTCTGGTAGCCGCTGTTGGATAACAAATTAAGCAGTTTGCACAAAGATTATCTTCATTGATGCCCAAATAGTTAAAATAGTTAATTCTAATATTTTGAAATAAAAGCAGGCTGGGAATGTGGCTTACTGGTAGACTGCTCGATTCCTTAGAACACATAAACTGAAGAAGCCAGAAGTGGCATTGTAGCTCATGAGGTAGAGTGCTAGCTCAGGGGCAGTGCCCAGGCTTTGAGTTCAAGCCCTAGAATTGGCAATAATAATAATAATAAAAACACGTCAAGCCTTTAAAAATCATGTAGGGGCTGGGAAGGTGGCTCAGTGGTAGAGTGCTTGCCTAGCCTGGATGAGGCCCAGGGTTCAATTCCTTAGTACCACATAAGCAGAAAAAGCCGAAAGTGGCGTTGTGGCTCAAGTGGTAGAGCTCTATCCTTGAGCTGAAGAGCTGAGGGACAGCACCCAGACCTAGAGTTCAGGCCCCATAATCAACCAAAAATAAATAAATAAATAAAAATCATGTAGGTACTCTTGTACCCCAATTGATTTACGAACAAGCAGATGGAATAATTGTCCATTATAAGCATTATTAATATAATGGGATATTTAATTACTGTGTGAAAAGTATAAGAAAGAAGATAACCTATTAATAAACATTTTAGTAAAACTAGGGACAACAGCTCAATAATTCATACCTTATTTTCAATAACTGATGTTATCCAGGTATCACAATTGTATGTATGTACAATTATATTTTCATAGCCATCCATTACTTTAGCATCACTCCTGCTAAGCACTGATTTACAAATGGCCTTTTCAAGTTGCCCACTGCATGCTTCCATATGGACAGCTTTAATTCTTGGCTTGCAGTTTTCTGCACAGATATCAATGATAAATGGACATGCCTGACATGGAAGAACAAAAAGTCTTGGTTTTAGCCTTTGGTAGAATTTTAAATAAATTATTCAATTTATTGTTAATATATTTGTCATATGATTTACTAAACATTGTAGTTTGTCTTTCAGATAAAGGTTTGAATGTTTAAACTTTTAGAAATATGAATTGAGTAACAAAAATGTATGAGACTTTGGGGTTCATAGAAACAGAAAAATTAAAGTATAAAGCAAATTATAGAAAGCTTAAAAATTATATTTATCTTGACTCATGAAAACCCCCTCAAACGATGAGATTTAGAACCCCAGATTATTCCCAAAGCTATTACTGATTCATTTATTCTTTGGGACTTTTTTGTTGTTTGTTTGTTTGTTTTGCTGGTCCTGGGGCTTGAATTCAAGGCCTGGTCATTGTCCCTGAGCTTTCTTTCTCAAGGCTGGTGCTCTACTACTTCAACCACAGCTCCACTTCTAGATTTTGTACTTAATTGGAGATAAGAGTCCCAGGACTTTCGTGCCTGAGTTGGCTTCAAATTTCCATCCTCAGATCTCAGCCTCCTGAGTAGCCAGGATTATAGGTATAAGCTACCGATGGCCCAGCAATACCTCCCAATTTAATAGAAACTACTTTCAGACAAGATTTACTACAATTCCACACATGCTCAAATTATAGCTCATGCAGATATTAAATTACTTGTGCCATATATTATTCAAGAAATCACCATGGAAATAATTATTCCAAATCTGTATGGGCACAAGACTGCACAGAATATACAGACCAATTAGAACAGAATTTAAGATTACATGTATATTCTTCCTAGGTTATCACTAGCTTTTCCCTTATTAAAAAATATGGCCAGGTACTAGTAACTTAGCCTGTAATCCTAGCTACTCAGGAGGCTAAGATCTGAGGATCGTGGTTAAAAGCCAGCCCAGGCAGAAAAGTCCGTGAGACTCTTATCTACAATAAACTGCTCAGAAAAGCTGGAAGTGGTGCTGTGGATCAAGTGGTAGAGTGCTAGCCTTAAGCACAAAGGCTCGGGGATTTCACCCAGGCCCTGAGTTCAAGGCCCTGGCAAAAAAAAAAGGCATGAAAATGTTAGGCTATTTGTATACATACTGCGTAGCATGGCACCCTAGAGAATCCTTATCATAACCTAGATCTTAGTTTCATATTTAATAGCTCAAGTAGTTTCCTCATTCAGTATAAGTACCAAAAAAATCAATTAAAATACCTTCAGATCTTATTCAACTCCTTTAAATCTAACGTTGCTACATGTACATATCTCTTTGTCACTAGTAAAAATCAGCCCTGGTTGGTTTTTTTTTTTGTTTTTTTGTTTTTGTTTCTTTGGACTGAGTTGAGGGCCTTGTGTATGCTAATACATATTCTACCACAGAGCTATACCCTTGTCACTAATATCCAAAAGTTTAATAATTTTGTGCTTGAAAAGAAGTTTCATAGTGTAGAAGTTCCCACTTGTGGCATCATGATAGCATTTTTAAAAAGTTCCAGATCTTGGAGCATTTTCGAATTTGAGTTGTTCAGGTTGTCTACTAGAATGAGAATTAAGTGAATATAGTTTCTTATTGTTCTATATTTTTTTGAGATGAAGTAGGAAGATATAATATTTACTTGATAAGATGAAGTGTGGTGAATTATGCAGACAATTTCACATAGGATAATATGAACATATAGCACTGTTGCACACTAGGACAGTCTGTCTTTAACTGAGATGGTTCCTAAGTAATGATTACTAAGTATGTAATGAGCTAGTAAAATATTCAGCATAAATACTCTGTTCAAAGGGATAATTCATATCCTACATAGAAAACAGGAGGACTTTGTGAGATTCCATCATGCTACTCAGAATAGCACCTACAAATTACTTATTTCTGGAATTTTCCATCTGGTATTTTTGGATTGCAGTTGACTGAAGATAACTGAAACCTTGAATAAGGGGAGAATCTACTATAAGCTCTTTTGGAAAAGACTCCTGAAGATAGCGATCCATCCATAGGAGTTATACCATTCTAAGTATTCATTGAAAAAACTATTCCCTTATATTGATTGATATAGTAATTAATATTGCCTAATATCAGGTGATACAAGTCATTTTAAATTCTTTAATCCAGACAATTTAATTAAGACTTGGATTTCCTTTTGAGCAACTAGGGATTTTCTTTAGAGCAACAAAGCTAACACTTCAGGTTGTATCTGGCTTAACAGTACAAGCAAGTTAATCTACAATAATTAAAAGAGGTAATTCTAAAAGGTTATATAAGGGAAATTCAAAGTGGAACTTGTTTCCTTGGTGACAACTGAAATCCAGGGTCATGATTTTGGGTTGCCCTTAAGTCATTTCTACTAACACTTGTATTTTTACTTAATGGCTGTATATGAACTTACTAGATAGCTCAGGAAAACAGATCTCCTGCCTCAACCTTTTAAGTGCAGAATTACAGGCATTGCCACCATACCTAGCTTTCTGAGGGTTTCTGTTTTGACTATTGTAGAGCGTTTTAGGTTGATTCTTCATGGAATGAAATAATAATCAATGCACAAACTGAAATAAAATCTCTACAAAAAAAGAGAATCAACAATAACAATTGGGTGAATTTGTGATGGATTTTATAGTTTCAGTTAGGTATAAGTTAGAAGGAGAAACTAAGAATTAAAAAAAGTTTTCACAAACTTTGGCAAACTGATTGTCTTGTTGTCATGTGAACTAGCCATGGAACTGTTGTTAAAACCTGTTCAATTAATCAGAAACAACTCCAACTCAGTAAATACACTTCTGTAAGGCAACCAGTATCTGTTCCTTATTTTTGAAACTCAGGCAGTCAGAGATAGATTTACACTAGTAAGTCTACTATTAAGTGCCAACCAATCAACTTCACCTGAACAACCATATTTTTACTTAGATACTGTCAACTCATTTATGTCTCCACAAATCAGCCAATCCCTGAACTTCATGCCTTTCCCAAGCCCTAAAATAAATACCCAATTTGAAAATCATGTGTCAGGAAAATGTTCAAGGGGGTAAAATAGTAAGACTAAGCCCCCTGGGAAAACTAGGAGTGCCTTACCTCTTCCAGCTCCAGGGCTTTATTGTAGCCCATCGAATGTAGAGTAACCCAGAGGTCAGTAGGATCTCCTTCTCGATCATTAGCTTCCATTAGATTTAAATCCATAAATCCTTGCCTTGTTAATTCATTCTTTTTTGTATCAAAATTCTCTGTTAAGAAAAAGTTTCTTCCATATAGATTTTGAAAACTCATACATTTAATAATATGTCTGTTACTGTTCATAAATGTTTATCTTAATAAAGCCTTCCAAATTGAATAGCAGTTTATAAGTGGAATGAGAATGTCTCAATATATGATTGAGATCTATGTTTTTAATTCTCATGATTCAACAAATCTTGTAGTTTTAAATAGTGCAAATTCATTCCAAAATTAGAGGAAATTATGATCTTTCTGGGTAAATTCCAGCCTGATAAATTCCAATGTAAATTCATTTAGAGTTTAGGCTGGTATTTCAAAACAAATATAATGCTTCATATATATTTTTTTCCCTAAACCCAGCAGAGCCTGGATGACTCTGACCTAAGTCTAAGTTCCTCTAAACTACTAGAATTTAAAAAAAAGAAGATATGGATAGTGCTGGGTTTGACACCGCTGCTTGTCTATTCTTTGATTTTAAGTGAATTTTCCTTTAGTCCTTGAAAGACAATAGGAAACTATATTTTCCCAGGCAATTCTAAGTACATCCATTTTAACAACATTCGGAAGCAAAATTAAAATTATGTATCCAGACATACATAATTCCTGAATTTGTCTATAAAATGGCTACTTGTCTATGTCATGTTTGTCCTGACAAGACACAGAAAAAATGCTTGGAAAATATACATCTAATAAAGGATTTGTGTTCAAAATATAAAAAGAACTCTTAGAACTTATCAATAAGAAAGCAATAGTTAAAAATGGACAAAATATCTAAGCAACATCTCATCAAATATGATACACAAATGGAAGAAAATAAACACAAAATGTGTTATGTCTGTCTACACAGTGAAATATTATTCAACAAATAAGGAGAATTGGCATGGTGGTGAAAACCTGTAATCCTAGCTACTTGGGAGTATTATCTGGGGATTAGGGAACATGGTTTGAGGGCCTCCTGTGCATAAAAGTTCATGAGACTCTACCTCAATCAGTGGCACCTGTTATCCCAGCTACAGAGGAAGCACAATCACTGGGCACAGTAGCACATGCCTATTAGATGAGGGGAAGTACAAATAGGCAGGTCACAGACAGCTCAAGCTGGTCCAGGTATAAAGTGATAGCCTACCTTGAAAATAATCAGTGCAAAAAAGACTCAAATGCTAGAGCACCTGCCTAAGAAGTGTGAGGCACTGAGTTCAATCTCTGGAATGGAGGAAATGAGAGAAGAAAGGAGGGAGGCATTCAGGGAGGAAAGGTAAGAGGGAGGGAGAGAAAAAGAATAGATAGATGTGAATAAATGTGGAGAAACCATTTTAAAAAATACGTGAATACGTCCCACATCCACAAATCAGCCAACGACAAATGCTGGAGGGGATGTGGAGAAAGAGGAACCCTATTACACTGCTGGTGGGAATGTACACTCATACAACCACTTTGGAAAGCAGTCTGGAGGGTCCTTAGAAAGCTAAAGATTGACCTCCCTTATGACCCAGTCATACCACTTCTAGGCATCTACCCTGAACAACAGGAACCAATATACAAGGACACGTGCACCTCCACGTTTATTGCAGCACTGTTCACAATAGCTAGGATATGGAAACAACCCAGATGCCCCACCACAGATGAATGGATCCAAAAATTGTGGTATCTATACACAATGGAATATTATGCAGCCATTAGAAATGACAAAATAATGGCATTTGCAGAGAAATGGATGGAGCTAGAAGGAATCATGTTGAGCGAGGTAAGCCAAGAGCGAAGAGACAAACGGTACATGGTCTCCCTGATTAGTGGATGCTAAATCCAAAATGTTAGGTGATACGACAAAACTAACAGGACTTAAAAAACAAAGAACTCCCGCTCATCTGGTTGAACCACTACTAAATATCCCCATGCTGCTGATCGCATGTATGGTGTATAACATGTGAACACCGTTATATGTTACAGACTGTGATAGACAATTTGCTCCAGGAAAGTTAGAATGAACTTGTGACTTTAAATGAGCATCATTATTCCACAATACTGTGAAATTCCGGAAATTATGTAATCACTTAATCACAATCAAAAAAAAAAAAAAAGAACCTCGGGGAAGGTAGGGAGGGAGGGGATGGTAGGGGGAAAACAATAGAGGGGGTAACAATGTTCAAGAGGAAGTGTACTCATTACCTCACTCATGTAACTATAACCCTCTGTATAGTATCTTTACAATATAAAAAAAATCTTTAAAAAAAATACGTGAATACAATTCTATAACCTAATAAAAACAGCAAACGTACAGAGAGTTAAAAAGTTGAGTAGCCATTCCAGGTTTGAGGGAACAAATAGATATGTGAATAGAGCACAGGAGATTTTTAGGACATAACACTGCATGTGATTCTAATGTATACCATTATATATTTGTCAAAATATATTTGTCAAAACCTATAGTGAACCCTAATGTAAACTGTGGACTTAATTAGTAATAATGTATCAATATTGACTCATTAATTGTAACAAATGTACCATAATAAATGAATATGTTAATAAGAGGGAAACTTGAGGTGATACTTTGGATTTTTTTATTCAGTTGTCCTGTAAATCTAAAATTTCTTGAAAAGTGAAGTCTATTTATAGAAATAAAAGCACCTCTAAGTCTTTAAAAAGTTTATTGAAATAATATTATGCTCAGTAATATTTTTATTCTAATGAGTAACATCTTTATACGATGAGAAAGATAAACATTTCAGAACCAAAAAGCACATATTTCTTTCCATTTTAAGTCAATCATTAAAAAAATTATAGTTTGGGTTCTGAAACCATAGAGTGCTTGAGGTTGAGACACAGCCATGAACCTTGCTTACTGTGTAATATTATTGGTCAGGCTACCTAGCCTCTTTGATTCTATTTCCTTATTTGTAAATGAAAACAATAATAACACTACCTCCAGAGCTCACATGTATGTAGAAGTGTAGAAGTTTAGATCAGCATGTGGTATGTGATAGGTTCTCCAAAAGATAAAAATAACTGCTGGGCACCAGTGGCTCATGTCTGTAATCCTTAGCTACTAGGAGGCTGAGATCTGAGGATTGAGGTTCAAAGCCAGCCTAGGCAGGAAAGTCCATGAGATTCTTAGCTTCAATTAACAACTGAAAAGCCAGAAATAGAGCTGTGGCTCAAGTGGTAAAGTGCTAGCCTTGAGTACAAAAGCTCAGGGACAGTGCACCCAGAGTTCAAGCCCCGGGAATGGCAAGAAACAAACAAACAAACAAAAAAAACACCACTATCAACAACAAAACATACCAACTCTGAAAGTTTAAATTATTAAACTAGAATTTTATTACTAATTTTACTGTAAGAAAATCCTAATTTTGATTCATTGTTATGGATTATGCTGTACTGACAATAAATTGAGAAGTGAAAGATTATATTATTTGCCAACTATGCTAGCTCAAGGCTATAATCCTACTTAGGAGGCAGAGATGGGGGGACTGTAGTCCAAAGCCAGCAGGGCAAAAAGAAGTTTGCAGGACTCCATCAAAATAGATGGCTAGATGTGGTAGTCTGTGCCTATTATTCCAGCTGTGGGGGAAGCACATTTGCTGGGCAAAGTGGTACATCAGGGAGACACAAGTAGAAGCATCACAACCCAGACTGGCCTGGGTAGGGAGGGTGGAATATAAAGAGAGACACCAAAATTAACCAAAGCAAGAAGGGGCTGGAGGCATGCTCAAGTAGTAGAGCACCAGGCACAAAGCTGAGTTCAATCTCCAGAACCATAAAAAAAGGTTCTATGATAATTACATCTTAGAGATAATACTGTTACATATATTACCAGCATTATTAAAGTTTAACATTATAAATCAATACATAGCACTTATTATTAGTTATATTACTTAAGAGGTTACAAAGAAATATACTAAAAAAAATCTCTGTATTAATATTGTAGTTTTACCCTACTAGTTTGGCTAACAGATTTATTGGACTCCCACCTGACTTACTGACTGCCAAGCTCAGACCATTTTGAGAAACATACACTCCTATCCCAGTGACAGCATAAGTGAATTAATCTATCTTTGGACTATATTCTGGCATCCTCATATTTATTCTGTTATCTACAGTTACCTATGGTGTTTTGGATTTTTTCTTTTTCTTTTTTTTTTTTTTGTCGGTCGTGGGGCTTGAACTCTGGGCCTGGGCGCTGTCCCTCAGCTCTTCAGCTCTAGGCGAGCGCTCTACCACTTGAGCTACAGCGCCACTTCCTGGATTTTTTCCTTTAACCTTATTCCAGATTCCTCCTAAATGACAAGAGACTGGCTCATTCTCAATGAGGTTCTCCAACCATCTTGATATTCTGGGGTTTAGTATCTCCATTTCTATTTAACTCAAATACAAAAAATATTACAGGTGTGTGTGTGTGTGAGAGCGTGCGCACGCGTGCGTGCGCTGATCCTACGGCTAGAACTCAGGACTGGGTATTGTCCCTGAGCTTTTGTGCTCAAGGCTAGTGTTCTATCACTAGAACCACAACTCTACTTCTTGCCTTTTCGGTGGTTAATTGAAAAGTCTCACAGTCTTCTTGCCCAGGCTTGCTTAGAACCATGATCCTCAGATCTCAACTTCTTGAGTAACTAGGATTACAAGTGTGAGTCACTGATGTCCGACTAAAGAACTCTTAATATGTATAAACAAAAAAACTTCTTGGAAGCTACTTAATGTTTTAGTAAAACTATTCATTCCTTACTGTCCTTGAGCATAGTGTGTAGCTCAGTGATACCAAGGGCTAGTATAGCATTTTTTTATAAGTTGGCAAGACTATAGACTGAGAGCTGAAATCATGACTACATAATTCCTTTTTTGTGTGTGTGTGTGTGTCGGTCCTGGGGCCTGAACTCTGGGCCTGGGTGCTGTCCCTGAGCTCTTCAGATGTAGACTAGCGCTCTACCACTTAAGCCTCAGCCCCACTTCCACTTTTTCTGCTTATGTAGTACTGAGGAATCAAACCCAGGGTCTCATGCTTGCAAGGCAAGCACTCTAACACTGAGCCACCTTCCCAGACCCCATAATTCCTTTTTTAAATATTAGTAATACATTATTGATTTAAGGGAAATAAAATGTTTAAGTGTTTTGGATTTACAAACAATGCTACTACGTGTGTGTGTGTGTGTGAGAGAGAGAGAGAGAGAGAGAGAGAGAGAGAAAGAGAAAGCAAGAGAGAAAGAGAGAGAGAGCAAGAGAGAGAGTATTGTGGCTTCAACTCAGGCCCTAATGCACTCACTTGGTTTGGTTGGTACTCTACCACTTGAACAAGGCTCTAGCTCAGCTTTTTGCTGATTAATTGGATAGAAACTCTCTCAGACTTTTCTTCCTTGGCTGGTTTTGAACTTTAATCCTCTAGGTCTCAGTCTCCCAAGTAGCTAGGATTACAAGTGTGAGTTACCAGCACCTAAATGCTATAATAATAATGCATGGAGGAGCGATTTGGCTCTTACTTCTTTGTAACAAAAGGATGTCTGAGACAGCCTACATCTCCATCAAGGGAGAAAAAGTGCTCACCTCTGCAGATAGCCCATGCATCTTCGTCACATTTCTCACCACTTGTTCTCAATTCAAAAAAATTATATTCCTCAAGGCTAAGAAGACCATTTCCATCCAAATCAATTATTTCAAATATATCTGATAAAGTTGATCTAAAGTAATAAAAGTAGAACATTTTCTTTAAAACAGCTCTTTCTAAGCCTAACATTCAAAGGAAGTAATACCGCATTAATCAATTTCTGTTCCAGGTGCCAGTGGCTCATGCTTAAATCATAGCTACTCAAGAGGCTGAATCTGAGGATTCAAGTTCAAAGCCAGCTTGAGCAGGCAAGTCCATAAGATACTTATCTCCAGTTAACTACAAAAAAAAAAAAAAGCCACAAATGGAGCTGTGGCTCAAGTGGTAGAACACTAGCCTTGAACAAAAAAGCAAAGAAACAACACCCAGGCCCTAAATTCAAACCCTAGTATCAATACAAAAACAAAGAAAAAAACAAAAACAGTTTCTGTGAACTATAATGTATCCTAATACATTTTTATAATACATAGCCATTAACTACAAACACCGTATCATACAATAGATGGCCTGAACTTTTTCCTGCTGCCTAACTAAACACTTACAAACTTATAAACTAATTAAAAACTTTTAACATCTCCCCAATTTTCTTCTACCCCCCAGCTCCTAGTAACCACCATTCGACTATCTGCACATATAAGTCTGTCCTTTACAGATGCCATATGTATTCGATCAGTAGTTATTTGTGTTTGCAAATTTGGTTTATTTATTGTTTTTAGGGTAACAACCTCCAGGTTCATCCATGTTGTCACAAAAGTTGAGGTGCTGAATTAAAATATGAATATGAAGATAGGAGCTGGCCAAAGGAAATGAGAGTAGATAGGCTATTTATATATATATATATATATATATATATATATATATTTAATTTAACAATTTTTAATTTATTATTTTAATTTTTAAATTTCCTTATTTTTAAATTTATTATTTTACTTTAATTTTTAATTTTAAAATATTTAACTTATTTTAACAATTTAACAAATACTTACTTGAATTCCTTTGTAAGAAATAATTTCCCTGTTTCATCTCTATACACAAGTTGGGCTTCTTCTGTTATTGGTTTTATTTCTTTCCTCAGCCGACAGCCAGTTGTGGAAGGAATTAACCAGTAAGTTCCAGGTCCTAGTTCGCCAGTCCATCCAAACACCTTTTCTCAAAACAATTAAACAAAACAAAGCCATCATGCATCTCAGTGATTTTTGACAATTCTTTAGAAGGAAAAGCATTAGAAATGATTTTGAAATAGACAGTCACCAGTTCTATTAGAGTTCTATCAATGTTTTATAGGTATCAAATCTTAACTGTAACCACAACATAAGACTGTAAGATATAGTCTCTTGTATATTTTTTTAACTATCTTAAAAAATGGACAAAACATTACATATCATATAATTTGTCTCCAACAATCTTCAAAAATATGTAAATATCTTTAACAGGAAACAAAGAGATTAATTTTAGGATGTATTTTCAGTAAATACTGAGCTCCTTGAAGAAAAGTAATATTCCATGTTATGTTTCTTATTACGATTGAAATATGTGATTTGTAAATCAATGACACAAAAATAAAATTTAAATTTTTTAGACTTTATTATTTTCATGAGTTAAACATTTGTAAGAGCTTAGTATTGTGGATTAAAAATTTTACTAATCTTTATGTAATATGGACTATGAAACAAAATGTAGAATTCTAAGTAAACCTGCCTTATATAAAATTATGTTTCTAATTAAATGTTGAATATTTATGATATCAGGATATTTATATGGAAAAATATTTTATTTTCCTGTTCTATAAAATAAAGCAAATGGTAACTTTCCAGGAGCTTCCTTCTAAGTAGTTGACCTTCCAAGTAACTTCCTAGGAGCTTCTAGAGTCCCAAAATTATATATATGGGGGCTCTATAGACATATGAACTAGAGGTTTTCTTTCAAATTACGAAATTTATATATTTTTCTAGTTGTGTAAAATGACTAAGCACAGTTACTTGCCCTTCATTGTAGATCAGCTCAAGAGAATTCAGTCAAGTACTGTATACAAATATCCCTTCTAAAACCCAGGTACATGAAGATTCATATATGGAACAAGGCTGCTCTTCTGAATTCCCTGATTGGTCAGAGGAATCATGATCATCTTAAGGTCACTAAGTCCTATTTTGATACAAGAAGCAATCCAATATAACCAAGGGTCATTTAAAGACTAAACTACAAAATCATGCTTTGAAACCATAGTCTTTTAGATTGGCCAGATATAGATGGATAGCCAGAAATTTTTAAAAAACAGATTTTGTTGCTTCTTAATATATGCAAATATGTGATCCTATGAATCTCCATTAGTCTTCACATATAACTGTGGATAGTAAAGGGGTTAGTTCTTCAGGGGCAAAACATTTTTCTTACAGTAATTGTGAAACTAAAAATACAAATAAAAATCCTTTGTAAATTTGACATATTTCAGAAAAACAGAAGCCTACACAGTAAAGAGTTAAATAGAAACTCATTCAAACTTTATTATAGGCTTGCTATATACTAACTTTTCTTCCACATGCAATCTCATAAGAAAGTAATTTTACCCAAAACCAAATGGGAAAAGTATTGTTTTAGATAATGCTTTATCTTGAACTTTGTAGTCACTTCTGGAGACAAGTTTAGTCAAAACATTAACTTATGCCACCTTATTTGTTTCTTGCCTATAACTATGGTTGTCTGTTATGAAGCCTACAATAAAGACTTTTATATAACATTCCATCAGGGAAATGTTGGAACTATATAAAGATTAAATATAATATTGCAGTAAACCTTGAATAGTATTATTTCTGTTATGTAGCAGATGTATTTTGTAGTCCTCATAAAATGAATAGCCACATTTATGTATCTGCTTCACATATATGGCCTCTGAGTAAATACATAATTAGAAAAGATCAGAACAGCCTCAAGGGCAACATCTAAAACCATTTAAAAGCATTTCTTCTTATCAGGCTATTTTGAAATCTATAATATGAGTTAAGTTTGAGGACAATAATCTTGAAGTTTTCCTATTCTGCAGTAAGAATAATATAAGACAAATATCTAGAACAAACTTTTCCAGAGTTTGGAATTGGTGATACTGAGGGTGGGGTGGGGTGAAGTGGGAATGTCTACTGGCATCAGTCTTTGTTACTGAGTATAACAGAAAATGCTCACATGTGAGGCACTAGAGCTTTTAGAGAAGAAGAAAGTAAAGTACAATGTTGAAGAAGAACTGGCAAGCCAGAGCTGTCTATCAATCCTCAATCTTTAATAAATCTCAGCAAAGAAAAACTCCTTTACAATTAATAAAACATATATAATATCTATGATGTTTAAGTAATGCATATATCTTAATTGGGAGACTGTTTAAAGAATAAAATGAAACAAATATGAAAATTCCTCAAACTTGAATTCACACAATATTCTTAATTAAACATTAGAAAATAAATTTGTATACTTCTCTGTTTCGCAGTTCAGTAAAACATATTAGTTGTAGATTTGCTCGACTCTCATTTTCCTTAAGAATATATAAGGTAGTATCAACAGACAGCCAAGAAGATAGTTTCCCTATATTCAAAAAACATCCAACACTTTAACCCAGTTTCTTGCCTCAGCAATTTTAAAAGAAATATACATGTAATTTTATATGGAAACATTTTAATATGTGCAATAGATCATACGTTATATACAACATTATGAGGAACATTCTCTATACACTCCGTAAAACTCCTATTCTTGAACTCTATCAAAAGCTGAGTTCTAAGAGGTGGGCATTTGACACAATGGGTAGAGGGCTTGCCTAGCAGATGTGAGACCTTAGTTGAATGCTAGCACTCAACAAAAAAACAAAACAAAACAACAAAAACAAAACAAACAACAAAAAAACCCCAGAGTTGTAGGATACAACTGAGTAGCTTGAAATTCAGAGGAAAACAGACTTTTTAAGGAACAGGAGGAAAAAACATCTAGGTGCTCATAAACTCAACAATCAGATCTTCATCTAAGACCTTTCTCTGAATGTTAGTCTCATATAACCAACTGTCTTTTTGACATTTCCACTTACATTTCTCTTTCCAAAAAATAGGACTCCTGACTTTTCCCAGTCTCTTAAGAAAAGCTAACCATGTATACTCTTCTCTGTTTTAACTCCTTGGCTCCAAAATCTTGGAATCATCTTTTAACTTGCACCTATCAAAATTAATCCTCAGGAAGTCCTATTGTTATATTTTTAAAATATAATCAGAATCTCTATTATCCTCTTTTGGGGTGTGTGTGTGTGTGTGTACATATCAGAATCTCTATTATCCTCTTTTGGGGTGTGTGTGTGTGTGTGTGTGTGTGTGTGTGCATATGTGTGTGTGTGTGTGTGTGCATGTGTACATATATTTATTTATTTATTTTGTCTGTCATGGGGCTTGAAATCTGGGCCTGGGCACTGTCCCTCAGATCTTCAGCTCTAGGCAAGCACTCTACTACTTGAGCCATAGTGCCACTTCCAGTTTTCTGGTGGTTTATTGGACATGAGTTTCATGGACTTTGCTGCCTGGGCTGGCTTTGAACTGCAATCCTCAGATCTTAGCCTCCTGAGTAGCTAGGATTACAGGCATGAGCCATTGGTACCTGGCTTGGTCTACATTTTGAAAATGACTACTTCAGAGGGTTAGGGAAGATTCTGGTAGCAAGCAAATGTTCCCATAAAATTACAAAACAAAAATAAATATTGGTTTGAAACCATTAACAAAATAGTATATTGGAAAAACACCTCATAGACATCTGTTGCTGATTAAAAAGGACAAACATTTTGGACAATAGGAAACTCATTTTTATGTAGATATAATTATTATATTATTAATAATATTTATTATTGTTGTTATTATTACTACTACTATTATTAATATTGTTGGTCATGGGACTTGAATTCAGGGCCTAGATGCTGTCCCTGAACTTTTTCATTCAAGGTTAGCACTCTACCAGTTGGAGCCATAGCACTACTTCTGGTTTTCTGGTGGTTAACTGGAGGTAAGAGTCTCATAGATTTTCCTGCCTAGGCTGGCTTTGAATTATGATCCTTGGATCTCAGGTCTCAGCCTCCTGAATAGCTAAGATTACAGGCATGAGCCACCAGTGCCTGGCTTATAATTATTAATACTGCCTCAATTATAAACATAAATTTTGAAAGAGTTAAAGATGCATCTCAAACTATGCTTCTATACATTTTTTCCTTAGAAATTTTAATTTAAAAACTGATAAATTGGGCTTGGAATATAGCTTATTGGTAGTGTGCGTGCTTAGTATGCATGAAGCCCTGGGTTCAATTCCTTAGCACCACATAAACAGATAAAGCCAAAAGTGGCGCTGTGGCTCAAGTGACAGAGTGTTAGCTTTGAGCAAAAGAAGCTCAGGGGCAGTGCCCAGGCCCTGAGTACAATCAAGCTCCAGGACTGGTAAAAAAAAAAACAAAAATAAAAACAAAAACAAAACCTGATAAATGGAAAAAGCTATTGGAAAATAAAAAGTTACCAGGAGTCCCTAGAATCCAGGCAACAATTTCCTTTTTTTTTTTTTTTTTGTCAGTCATGGGGCCTGAACTCTGGGCACTGTCCCTGAGCTTCTTTTGCTCAAGGCTAGCACTCTACCACTTGAGCCACAGCTCCACTTCTGGCTTTTTCTGCTTACACTGTGCTGAGGAATTGAACCTAGGGCCTCATGCATCAAGGCAAGTACTCTACCACTGAGCCACCTTCCCAGCCCCATTTTCCTATGTTTTTAATAAAAGTGCTTCAAATGGATATACAAAGCAATTCTTTTGTTTTGTATAACACAGTCAATATATGAAATAATATTTTCCTTTCTTGAGATGTAACCATACATTTCTTAGGTTAGTTACTGGAACTGTTAAATACTTAATTATTTTCCAAAAAGGGCACAAATTGCTATTTGAAAAATAAACAGAAAATTTTAACTTGCCTTCAACTTGACTCAGGTTTAATGGCTTAATTGTTAGATAAACCATGGACTTTTGAGTTATTTGCATCTTGTATTGATGACTAATAATTTCACCATCTTCTTCTAAAAAGAAGCAGCCTTTTGATTGTACACACTGCCAGTCCTGAAATGAAGATAAGAATTTTTTTCAAATTGTGATTGTTACATGTTTCCAACATGTATTAGTATGAGAAAACAACCCAAGGATATAAAAGATGTCAAAATATAGTCATTGTTCTCCAGAAATGTTCAGCATAAGAAGAATATGTGTCAGAAATCAGTCACAATTGGTGACTGAGACTAATTATATATACAAAAGAATCCTAAAATTTGAAGTGTCTAAACAGGGTTTAGCATATTGTAGGTGTTTGACAGATGTTTATTGTCTTATTTACAGGCAAACTAGGTATAAAATGAGTGGCTAGTGATCTACACCATGACTCAATGTCATCTAAATTATGAAAAGTTAGGAAAATCCACAAGAGAATAAGAACATAAAGCCCAAAAAGCAAGAACTGAGGCAAAGTAATAAATACATTGTCATAATAATTTGGATTAAATTAGTGCTGGGAACATAGCAAGAAAAGACTGCTAAAATGAATATATTTAAAGAAAAAGTGATAAGGAAAAAGGGAGGAAGGTATGGAGGGAGGAAAAGAAGAAAAAGAAAGAAAAAAGAAAAAAATATACTGATATTTAAGAAAGGAATATAAGTTTGGGGAAGGACCTTTCTGGATTGGCTGTTTCTTGGTGTAGCCAAATCTCTCTCTTTTTTTTCTTTCCAGTCATGGGGCTTGAATTCTGGGCCTGGGTGCTGTCCCTCAATTCTTCAGCTCAAGGCGAGCATTTCTACCACTTAAGCCACAGCACCACTTCCAGTTTTCTGGTGGTTAATTGGAGATAAGAGTCTCAGCATAGGCTGGCTTTGAACTACAATCCTCAGATCGCAGCCTCCTGAGTTGCTAGGATTACAGGTGTGTGAGCCATCAGCGCCCAGCTCCAAATCCTTTCTCTTAGTCTGAATTAAAATGTCTATTTATGATTGGGTGCTGGTGGCTCATAACTTTAATCCTAGCTACTTAGGAGGCTGCATCTGAGGATCCTGTTAAAGCCAGCCTAGGCAGACAAATGAATAAGACTTTTAGCTCCAGTTAATGAGGAAAAAGTCAGAAGTAGAGGTGTGACTCACTGGAAGAACATCAGCATTAAGAGAAAAGACCAAGGAAGAGTGCAAGACTTCATGTTCAAGCCTCAGTGCTGACAATACATATATGTAGGGTCTCATAACAAGAATCAAGTAAAGGGACTGGAAAGGTGGCTCAGTGGTAGAGTGCTTGCCTTGCATGCATGAGGCCCTGGGTTCGATTCCTCAGCACCACATAAGCAAAAAGAAAAAAGCCGGAAGTGGCACTGTGGCTCAGGTGGTAGAGCACTAGCCTTGAGCTGAAGAGTTGAGGGACAGCGCCCAGGCCCAGGGTTCAGGCCCCATGACCGGACCCAAAAAAAAAAAAAGAATCAAGTAAAAATTTTAAATGGTACACTGCGCAAAAAGCAATTGGTGCATTCTTTGCTGACATTATGAGAAATATACCAATACTATAGGTATATGCAAAATGCTTCTTACTTTATCATTGCCCACCTGTAATGTAAGCATATTTCTGTTCTATTCTTAATAGTTTTCAAAAATAAAGTATCAATGAGCTCTTGATATGATTTCATAAGTTTTTTTGATTTCATAAGTTTTTAAAATATCTGTAAGGATATTTAGATATTAAGTTCAAGGCTTTAATAATATTGGTAACCATTCAAAAAGTATTCATTAAGCTCTATAATATTCACATCACTGTGACATGGAAATTCACTGTGACATGGAAAAAAACCAGAGCAAAATTAGTTTACGTTGAAGTTTTTTTTTTTCAATTTATTTCTTTTTTCTTCTTTATTTTGCCAGTCCTGAAGGCTTGAACTCAGGACCTGGGCACTGTCCCTCAGCTTCTTTTTTGCCCAAGGCTAGCACTCTACCACTTGAACCACAGAACCTTCTGGCTTTTTCTATTTATGTGGTACTGAGGAATCAAACCCAGGGGTTCATGCATGCTAGGCAAGCACACTACCACTAAGCCACATTCCCAGCCCCTGAAGTTGATTTCTGATTCACTTTCTTTTATTTTTTATTTTATTTCATTTTATTTTTCCAGGGCTGAGGACCGAACCCAGGGCCTTGCGCGCGCCAGGGGGGCGCCCTTCCGCTGGGCTAAACCCCCAGCCCCTCACTTTCTTTTATAAAAGGCTGAATTAGCCTAATATATACTTATATAACATTTTTCTATTATAAAAGTCATAATTATTTTAATTTTTTAATAGTTTTTCTGTACTGGGGTTTGAACTCAAGGCCTTAAAAGCTTGTTTGGCTTACTTGCATGGCTGGTGTTCTAGCACACTAAACCTCTAGACCAGCTTTTTCTTGGTTATTCTGGAGATAAGACATAGCCAACTTTTCTGTCCCTGCTGGCTTCAAAATGCAATGCTTTTGATCTTAGCCTCTGGAGCAGTTAGGATCACAGGTATGAGCCACCAGTGCCCAGAGAGAGGAGAGAGGGAAGAAAAGGAGGGAAGGTGTGAGGGAGGAAGAGAGGGAGGGAAGAGGGAAGGAAGGAAGGAGGGTGGGTGGGTAGACAGAAAGAAGGAAAGAGACTTTGCTCATGTAACTGTAACCCCTTTGTACAGTATCTTTACAATAAAAATATATAAAGAAAGAAGGAAAGAGGGAGGGAAGAGAGAGAAAGGAGGGAAGAAGGGAAGGAGGGAGAAGGGAGAAAGAAAAGAAGGGAGTAAGGAAAGAGGGAAGAAAGGGAGGAAATAGAAAATTCAAATGATTGAATAGCTACCTACTACCATTTTCTGATTTTTATATAATCCTTTCTAATACTGTCATATGCAGAAATTTTTCACATTCCAGTAAATACCATTTTGTTTTCTTCCCTAAATTTAATCTATGTCCTAAAGGTTTGATTTTTGAAAAACAAAATTGGAGGAATCACATTTTCTGATTTTAAAATTTACTACAAAGCCACAATAATCAAAAGAGTATAGAATGGCACAAATGCAGACATCATGGACACCAACAGAAATAGAATGCATAGGCTAGAAATAAACCTTCATATACACGATCAAATGGTTTTCAAAAAAAGAGTGCCAGGACCATTCATTGAGGAAAAGACAGTCTTTTTCTTATTAAATGAGGCAAAGGAAACTGGAAATCCATGCACATATAAATTTACTCAATATACAAAAATTAACTCAAAGTGACCTGATTACCTAAACTTAAGTGCTAAAACTGTAAAACTTCAAGGAAAAACATAAAGGAAAGCTGGCAATGAATTTACCAAAGACTTCTTGGATGTGACACCAAAAGCACAGGCAATAGAAGAGGGAAAATTAGAAAAATCTGACTTTTCCAAAATTGTAAATTTTTGTATATTAGTGGACATTACCAAGAATAAAGAGATAACCCATTGGGACAGGAAAAACAATTTGCAGATCAAGTATCTGAAAGGGATTAGTATCCAGAATACATAATGAAGTAGAAATCAGCAATAACTGAACATGCCACACACCCTTATCAGATTATTACACATTATGCACCTGTATTGAAATCTCATACTATATCCCATAAATAATTACAGTTAATATAGCCAAATTTTAAGTATGTTTATTAAGAAGAAAGTATTCAGGCTAAAAATAGGTAGAAATATTGAGTTACTCTTTCTTCAGAGAAGATAACATAGATGACCAATAAACACATGAGAAGATGCTAATCCATCACTAATCATTATGAAAATGAAAGTCAATACCCAATATGATACAATTTCACACCCATTAGAGGAGAGAGGGAGAGAGGGAAAGGGAAGGGGAAGAGAAGTGAGGGAAAGGTGAAGGTGGCTCAGGGGTAGAATGCTTGCCTCGCATGCATAAGGCCCTGGTTTCGATTTCTTAGCACCACATAAACAGAAAAGGCCAGAAGTGGCACTGTGGCAGAGCACTAGCCTTAAGCTGAAGAGTTCAGGGACAGTGCCCAGGGCTAGAGTTCAAGCCTCACAACCAACCAAACAAACAAAACAAGGGGGGTGGGGAGAGGATGGGAAGGGATGGGAAGGGGAAACAAAGAGGAGGCAACAATGCTTGATAAGAAATGTACTCATTATCTTGCCCATGTAATTGTAACTCCTCTGTACGGTATTCTCACAATAAAAAAATACAACAACAACAACAAAAAACAAGAAAACAGAATTCCCTATGATTCAGTAATTCAATTTCAGTCTACATACCCAAAAATTGAAAGCAGGGACTCAAATAAGAATTTGTACATCAGTTTTCATAGCAGCCTGATCAGCAAAGGACAGAAACTACCCTAATCCCCATTGGTGAATTAACAGATAGACAAATGTGTCATTTCTATACAATTGGGTTATAATTCAGACTTTAAAAGTGACATTCTGACACATTCTACATACAGGTTTAACAGACATCAAACTAAAGAAATAAGCCAGACACAATAGAGCAAATATATGATTCCATTTATAGAAACACAGAATGATCAAATTCACTAAGTAGAACAGTAATTCCAGGGATTGAAAGAAAGAAATAGTGAGTTAGGTTTTAGTGGGTTGAGTTGCAGATAACAAGGTTCTGAAGATGAATAGTAGTGATGGATGAACAGTGTGGATGTATTTAATGCCCCAGAACTGTATTCTTAAAAATACATCAAATGGCTAGGTACCATTGGCTCACTCCTCTAATACTCTCAGGAGCCTAAAATTCAGAGGGTTGTGGTTTGAAGCAGCCCAGGTAGAAAAGTTTTGCTAGATTCCATTTCCAAAATAACCAACAAAGACAAGACTGGTGGCTCAAGTGATAGAGTGCATGCCAAGTGAGAGGCCTTACACTTAAAACCTAGTACTGTCAAAAAAATCAAATGTATATATTTTACTATCTGAAAAGCCATTTTATAGCCAAGTGTCTTATTCATTGTAATCCTAGCTTCTTGGGAGGCTGAGATTGTTGAGGTTATGGTTCTAAGCCAGAAGGGGTAAAAGAAATGTCCATGAGACACTTTCTCAAGGA